TAAAATCCATTCAATATAAAATTTTGAATGACATAAATAGCTAGATAACAATGTGAAGTAAAAAGTAATCATCGGTAACCGGCGCTTGAAATATTTTTGAAATGTTTGTAAAAGATAAATACTATTTAATATAAATTTTTGAATCACATAAATAGTGAGATGACAATATAAAATAAAAAGTGTGCTATTCAACAATTATTATTTTTATTATACAGTATTTTATCATTATATACTTATGGAAATTCTACTGCGGCATGCACGATAAGCATACAAAACGCTGGATAAACAACGTATTCAACAATTTTGTATGATAAAATCGAAATTGATAATCGAACGTTTTCTTCTTAAGGAGGTTCTATAGATAATGGATGTATCTAAAAATTGGAAAAAACTTTATGGACGTATAAATTGAGATGCGAGAAAAGTGCTCGAAAAATTTTAGCATCGGTTACCGTGTAAAAATTTGCAAAAATGAATTTTGAAATCACAGTTTTTAACATAAGCTACATATGGCAGAGGGGCTCTTGGAAACAGAAAACGAGATATTAATTATATAAAGGCGACCTACCAGAGATTCAAAAAACGGAGCTCTTATAGATCTTAATCTAAGCTTTTCAGAAATATTGAGAAAAACAAGGATTATCGCGTAAAATTTTGTGATATTGGCTATTGAAACAGGCCATATCACAGTTCACGTAGCGTGCTTCGAATAACAAGGGAGATTTGGCAATGTCGCAGCGACTGCACCCGCGCGAAAAGTGTACAGCCAGTACAGCACCACAGTATGACAGCACCTCAAATTTAAGCACCTAACGTTTACGAACGCTTACGGAGAAGTACTCGCTCTAGAATTATGTGAAATTGTGAAATAACCACAGTCATATGAGCAGAACTGTCAAGTTCGCGACGTTACCACATTTTCTTCCATTATAAGCCGTCAGAGTCAAAGGAGCACTTACACGATTTTTTAATTATTCCTCGCTTTGACTAATATGGGTATGATATAAGCTCTAACGTCATCAAAATTCACGAAAATTTTTTATGAATACTTAGAATCGATGAATTTGAAGATTTTCTCTTCATCTCTCAACTGACTAGAGAGTACCTGTAGAACCTCCTTAATACAGTCGAGCGGTCGACGATCGAAACAATGGATAGAGCGACCGGACTTTCCGCTCGAGCCGCAAGAGTTCATCGGACAAAATATCTTTAGGCTAACGAGAGAGAGGGCTGACCGGCGGACCGTGAGAAAGGAAGCAAAAGTCGCCTGGCGCCGAATGGGAAAAACTCGTTAAGGTCGACGGGAGCCGTTCGAGAAAGAGAGAGAAAGGGAACTTGCGATTGAAATCGGCCTCAACTGTGATTAAACGAAACTACCTCGTGCCGCCTCACGTAACACGCGCCGGTTGGCCGTACCGGAAGAAGAGAAGGGAAAACACGAGGATATCTTCCCGTAGGCAAAAAACGATTGCGTTCTTTGGGATATAGGCGAAAAGGAAACGATGGAACGAGCTATTGCAAACAACTTAATTGCGCGAGCATCGCGGATCAAGTGATAAACGACGGCACGGTTTTATAAGTTTGCTGTTTTGCGTGCGCGCAATTGCGAGACGAAAAATTGCTAAATTGTAATTTACGGAAGCTGCGTAAACCGCGCGAAGATTCGGCTCCGCCTCTGCATAAATGAAAAGTAACCGCTACGGTTAGAATTTATCTTAATTTAACCGCTAGAATTTATCTTAATTTTGTCTTCCGTACTAAATTATAAATTTCTGAAGATTGGAAGGAAGGAAGATAAATATTTGATTTTCTGACACGTTTGCTCGCGAAGGAGCACGAAATAATGTATATTAAGAAAATGAAATGTCTCCTTCCCTTTGTGAATTTATCATCGAAGGTACACCATTTCGTGGGTTGCGTGAGCCCTTAAGACGCATAAAACATTCGTCACAAACGCGGACGTATTCGTAGGATATTCTAATATATTTCCCTCTTTCCATAATGCAGCTCTTAAGGTCCGGAATAATGCAGATCCTTGGTGAAGACTGTGGGAAGTCGACTACCACGGGAGCACCGGTGAAGTCGAAAGACGCTGACGAGTGTGCGCGAACATGCAGAAATGATGAACGAGCAATGGCAATGCAACACGAAGGATGTGTAGCAAGATAAGAAATTCCTTCCCGAAATCTGAAAGTTTCGTAAAGAGCGCGTGTCGAGAGTTAAACTTCGATCTCAAAGTAATTCTTCGGAGAGGCATAGTCGCCAAATATTGCGCTACAATCGTGCAGATAAATAAACAATGAATCGTATATCTACCAAAAAATTCAGATAAAATTTTATGTATCGTACTTATACGGAATTAATATTAATTCGCACTCTTGTCTCGTACTGAAACGCGTGAAAAAGTGCGGGTTGAAATATCGTTACGTCCTCAAGGCGTAATGACGCCGAGCTGTGAACGATGACACGTGCTTTCATTACGCTTCCACGTGTGACAACATTTGAACAAGTGCCGCCTGTCCTCTAAGTCCAACGCGAGGCTGTTCGCAGAGACGTTTACGTCCAGCTGGTCCCCCACCGTTTATGACGCTGCGGCACTGCACGTCGTACAAGACCACGGCGTGCAGCAAGCCGCGGAGCGTATACGGCGCACACATTGCACATATTGTCACGTGCATCGCAGTTCTCGCAGTCTCACGCTGCACATCGGAGTGACGTGCAGCCAGATGCGTCGCGGCACTTAGGGACACGAAATTCATTCTCTTTATTCGTCAAATAAATCGTTAGTCACGTCCTTAGATAGTCACATCTGACCCCATGCGGCACAAGGGTGTGAGACCATTATGATTCTTCATTGTGTCTTGTATTATATCAGAAATTAATCTTAACTAATGATCTTCAGCTCGAATCCAATGTCTATATAAAGTTCCAAGTACTAGTTCTTTATTGGACAGATATTAATGTTTGTTCGATCATTCGAAGGGAGCAAAAATCACAATCGGAAATAATCCAATAAAAACGATTAGCGGACTGTCAGATAAAAATTAATCAGATAACTAATTTTATGTTATTTTGATATTTTCGGATATGTTCAAACTGAACTGAATTTGAATATTTCTAAATTAAAACAGGTTTTTAATTTCGAAGCTAATCTTTATATCTCTCTCAACTGTTCGTGCAATTTAATATTTTCTAAATATAAAGAGATGAATGTACAGTATATTATCTACACAGAGTGCAAGACATAGTACAAACAAAAGAATATAGAACAAGTACTATAATAATAATGCTTTGAGCGTGTAAGAAAGGATATAAAATAATTTGACCTCGATTCAATCTTGTTATAATATTTACGATATTTGCTATGCGTAAAAGCAAAAGCTAATTAAACGGTCGATTGCTGTCTAAGTTTCGATCGAAATAATCTCCAAATTAACTTCGTGAAATATACGATTTCTGAATGTGCTATTCGTCGAATCGGAAGAAGTAGATCGCGGCTCGCCTTATCGCGAACACGCGAATTGGATAATGGCGTAACGATCAATGGAACGATTGCCTTACATGAAAGTAGGTTAATGCAAGACAAATTGTGGTACAATTTCGCGTTTCTCGACGCAAAAAGTGCACACTGCGCTGCACGTTGAAAAACTCTGGACGAGAGGGGGCGAACGGGACATAATTAGAAGATACAAAAGTTTATCCAGTGACCGGCGCGAGCAAACAAATGACGCGGCTGTAGAGACAGTCCAGGAGAAGGCAAATCGAATTAAACGGGCAAATCCTGTAAAGCGTTACTGTGCAAATTGTGAAACTCTCGCGAGACTAGCGAGGTGTCCCGGTGTAACAACAACGACGTACACGTTAATTGAAATTAAACGCTAATTCGTTAAGTGAACGGGATGGGATTGGGAGGTGACTCCCAACTCTCGCTGCTGCTGCATCTTGTTTACCGTTTGCAAGCGAGCAGAAAAACGGAGTGAAATATTGGAATAAACGGAAATTTCGCCTGTGTTGTATTTCCCGAGTGGAAAAAGATACTCCTAATGGACTCCTAATTTATCAGACTGGCGAGCGCGCTACGACGCACCTTAATCCTCGCGTAACAAAACTCTAAATTAATTTTCTCATCAATTCCTCCAGTTAATTGATTGCACTTTTTTCAATAGGAATATAATCTTCCAATTCGTTTCACAATTCGTTAATTATCCGATCTTGACGTCTCACTATATAGGCTATCGATTGCTAAAGCAGCCAAGTTCTTTGACATCGCTCCCATCAGAAAACTCGCCCACCCACACGGCGCTTTTATTGTAAAGCCGAGATTTTATCGGAGAAACAAAGCCGGATCATCCATGTCGTAACTCTCGGTGATTATCGTATGAGCCCTTTCGCACCTATGACGGTTTAAAGGCGTTTTATTCGCCCTCAGGCGTACGATAAACC